ACTCATATGTAACCCATATCTGATATTTTTCTGTACAGTCTGAACGTCAATAATCCAATTTTATTTTTATCTGATCCTGATCACTTTCATACGTGGTACCAGATACAGATGCATCTCAAAAAATTATAATATTGTGAAATGTTTCAATATTTTTTGTCAGTCACTTGTGAAGTGAAACTCATATGTTATATTATCATTATACATAGAGTGAAATATTGCAATGGTGAGATCCACCCTCGAATCCTCAAGGCTCTGGATGTTGTTGGGCTGTCTTGGCTGACACGTCTTTACGACATTGTGTATGGTGGTGGTTCCCCTCTTCAAGAAGTATTAAAATTAAATTAAATTCAGTTTAATTATATAGCACCAATTCACAACAAACTTGTTTCAGGGCACTTTACAGAAACATTCACATACAAAGAAAAGCCAATTAGTAAAGTTCTCTATCTAAGGAAAAAAAGAGGGATTGGAGGGTGTGCTTCAACTACAAGGGCACCATTCTCCTCTAAATTTTATTATTTTGTTTTATGAAGGGAAGCAACTGTTTAAAAACAGAAGCTTACAAATATTTACCACAAAATAAACAAAAGACTGATAACTGTGGTTTTATTATGTAGTGAACTAGGCCTCCGACAACAATCTGTCTCTGAAGACCTTCATGGGACAGGAACTGCTATTTCATTGATTTGAATCCAGAAATACAAATGATCTCATCAAGAGACTATTTATGTATCCTGAATTAATCAATTGAAAGAACACTCTTCTTTTTACATTATCATTACTATTTTAGAATATCTTGATAATCAAAGTGTGTTTAGTTCATACCATTTCTAAATGTTGAAGTGAACCACTCATTTTAAATCAACTGTGAAACATTATTAATGATTTTTAAACCTCATTAGACTTAGAAATCATTTTAAATGTCTATTTACAAAGTAATTGTGCATTTTGATCTTCTGTCTGAATGAGGAGTAGTGATGTCGGTCGAAAGTCAGAAAGCAAGTTATTAGAACAAAGTGTCTTGTTTTTAAACCTAGCAGACAGTAAATAACTTCAACTGGCATCTGCATTTGTCTCACTTTGCCATAACATTTCCCTGTCTGTACTAAACATTCGTAAACATTCCTGCTGTCTTTTTGACTCCTAATAACCCTCTGACATCACTGAAACACAGCCCCTGTTGGTTGTTTCAACCAATCAGGACATACCAAGTGACCAGAAGTGAGGACTCTTTAAAAAGTCAACACTTCCTGGAACTATTCAATCTTTGACCGCAGTCTTCTTTGAGTCTTTCACCGGAGTCTTCCACTTCTGAGTGGAACTTCGGACTCAGTCTTCTTCAGTCCTGGAGTCACTCAGTTTTCCTGAGTCTTTCTTGGGACTATGGAGTCTTCCTGAGAGTTCCTAAGGAACTTTCAGATTTAATCAATAGCTGATAGACTTAACCGTGAGACGAGGGTCTGTCCATCCCAGCTGGAGTCACAGCGCCTCGCTGTGAACTCACCCGGGCGTAATGCCCTACAACTTCGAAGGAAGCTTGTTCTGTTGAACGGAGTAAAAACCACACGACTTCTGACGATGACCAGCCACCCTGACTGGAGACGCTGAAAGGTAGCGTGCATAGGGACATCTATACTGGAGCTGTCCATCAACTGCAAAGGTAAAGAGACGTCACGAGTTGTCGCGCACTAAGCGGACCGGGGGTTTGAGCTGGTGTTGAAAGAAGCGTGCTAATTCTGGTCAACAAACATACATCTTCCTTCATCCATCTTCCTTTCAAACTGCTCCATTCCTTCCCTTAAACTTTTCTATTTTGCCAGTAACCTAGATGCCTCAATCAGTAATGTTCTGTTGTCTTGTTTAGTAAAGCGTGCCAAGTTTTTATTAATCAGAAACAGATCAGCAAATCAATGTGTACATGTTTTGATGTTAAATTTTGATTCTGTTAAATAAATGACCGCATTTATTCTGATGGGTCAAAGAAAAATGGCGTCTCATGTCACTGATTAAACAATCCTCACAGTTATCTCGGTCACATGGCATTAATTTAACTCAAAAAAGAAAGAATCCATTGTATTTAAATAATTAATATTCTTTGTGCTTGAACTAGCTTTAAGAATAATTAATTAGTAGTGAAGCTACAGCAAAGTTGCTCCCTACTTCACTACAATTAATTTGTAACTGTCTCATTATATTGGTTTACAAGTTGAGTGTGGCTATTAAAGGACTATCCAAAAAATGTAAATGGTCCCTAACAGAAAAAAATCTCCATACTCCTATATTACAGACAAGAACAATATATTAGTATTACAAGAGCAGCTCTAAAATGGTTTAAATAATATTTATTTGATAGACTCCTGTTAGTTAGTTAATAATTACTCTTCTTCATATATCAGAGTCTGTCATGGAGTTCCTCAAGGTTCAATACTTGTACTAGTACCAGTGTTCCCCCTACTGTTATACAAGGAAGGCGCCCTGCCCAGTCAACAGAACCAAGCACCCCACCTACAGAAATGTGGCACTCCGCTTCTCTCATGCACCCACCCCACCCCAGTCAACAGGTGCCAGAACAAAAGTAATGCACATCTCTCATATAACACTCTACTAGATCTACAGTATAAAAGCTAATTGAACAAATCATTCTAAAGAGACTAATCAGACCTTTATCACATTCATACACCGATGGGACACACATCGGTGGCAATGAGGGGTTCAGTGTCTTGCCCAGGGACACTTCGGCATGTGACTGCTGGTGGATTTGAACCCCAAGCGCTTGCATTGGAGGACGACTGCTCTAACCACTCAGCCACAGCCGCCCTTTTGACACTTTATCTGTGCTGCTGATTATCCATGCTGCTGATTTCTTACCCGTAAGCTGCTGTATTCATACCCATCTGCTCACAACACACTCATGTTCAGGCTGCTGTTTAATACTCTGTATTATTTTAAATTATTATTGTTTTGCATAAATTTTAGATAGGCAGCAAGGTGGCACAGTTGGTAAAGCTGCTGCCTCTCAGCGAGCAGGTACTTGGTTCAAATCTCGGTCCGGGGAGCCTTTCTGGGTGGAGTTTGCATGTTCTCTCCGTGCATGTGTGGGTTTTCTCCGGGTACTTTGGTTTCCTCCCACAGATCAAAAACATGCATGTTAGGCTGATTGGTAACTCTAAATTGTCCATAGATGAGAGTGAGAGAGTGAATGTTTGTCTCTACGTGTGCCTGTGATGAACTGGAGACCTGTCCACGGTGACCTCTGCCTCTTGCACAGTAACTGCTGGACATGGTCACCAGTAACCCCCGCGACTCAAAAAAGGAAGATGTGGGTAAAGATAATGGATGGATGGTATAGCTTGTATATAGTTTCTTTTTTATTGTTTATATTTTTGCTAATTTTTGGTGTAACTGGGACCTTGAGTACACAATTTCGTTTCACCTCATGTACCATTTGTGATGCAAATGACAGTCACCTTGAACCTAGCTGAAAAATTATGACTTCAACTAGTTGATGAATTTGAAACTAACTTTTGTGTCATGCACAATGTGTAGATGTATGCTTTGCTAATTGCAGCTAAATGCAGTGATCAGTGTCTAAACTCTACCCAGTAAAAAATTATGTTTTCAGAATTCATGCAGAGAGCAGATAATGAATTGTTACCAGAGGTGGCATCGGTTTGCACTTTTTAATAATTTGTACTCAACTGAAGCATAATACAGCCTGTACAGCAATATATACCATGGAAGCCAATATCTACTAGACAATTCAATACTTAGCAGCCATTACTTCAGCTTTATAGGCTACTTTTAAATGGTTATGTTATTAGCTTCAATTCTGGTCCGATTACATTCACATTGAGGTAAATAAGATAAAAACTAATTACTTGTAAAAGACACGTTTTCCATTTTCTCTTCTGTCGCTAACATCCATAGTACACATAGCTGTCTGGCATTGTTAATTTTTATATAAATTCTAATATTAAATTATTAATATATCTAAAAAAATTTTTTTTACATTTTATAAGTAGTCAACCCTAGCTCAGAGCTATTTATGCCTTCTTCCACTTGCAAAATATTACTAAAATAAATAAAAAATGCATCTTAACTGCAGCATCTTCATGACACACAACGAGGCACGAGGCTTATTTGTGTATTCAAGGTTCAAACTTTTAGTGAGTATTTATTATACTGAAAATCACGAGATAAATTAAATTACATTTAAAAAATTGGTCAAACAGGAAATGTCCATTTTCAAATATGATACTTAAGATAATAGGCTAGGTATAGGCTATAAGAAAAGTTTACAAGATAGTGGTGAGACCAGCTATACTGTATGGTCTGGAGACAGTGACATAAACAAAAAGACAGGATAAAGAACTGGAAGTGGCAGAAATGAAGATGCTAAGGTTCTCCTTAGGAGTGACAAGGATGGATAAGATTAGGAATGAGATCATCAGAGGTACAGCACAGGTTGAACAACTGGGAGATAAAGTTAGAGGCCAGACTGAGATGGTTTGGACATGTCAACAGGAGGAACCGTGGGTATATTGGTAGAAGGATGTTAGAAATGCAGCTGCCAGGAAAAAGACAAAGAGGAAGGCCAAAGAGGAGATACATGGATGCAGTTAGAGAGGACATGAAGGTAGTTGGAGTGAGGACAGAGTGAGGTGGAGGAGGATGACTCACTGTGGCGACCCCTGAAGAGGGAAAAGCCAAAAGAAGAAGAAGAAGAAGATGACTAAATGGGACTATACCACTATATATATTATTTGTGGTTAAAACTGACAATTAAAATACAGAAATTGAAACAGCACCTACACACTGTGCACTGACAAGCTTCAAATGATGATGCCATTTTTCATTTCATACCACTTGACAATGCCATTATGCATCAATTTCGAATGATGAAGCCAAGTGTAAACAGGGTGTTTAAGACTGATGTCAGACTGATGTCAGTACTTATAATGATGCTAAAAAGTGTGCCTGAACTGTTACTTCTTTGTTACCTTGACTCTTTTGGGAAACCCATCCTGTACAGAGTGACAACCACAGCTCCTCCAAGGCCAATGTTGTGCTGCAAGGCCACTTTTGCCCCTGGGACCTGCCTCCTGCCAGCCTGCCTCCGCAGTTGCCAGCACAGCTCTGCACACTGGGCCAGACCTGTAGGGGAAGAAGATGGACAGAGCATGGGACAGATGTATGAAGAAAGAGAGAAACAAGAGTTACTGATAATATGCAAACAAGACTTCAAATAAAGGTTAAAAAACAAAAACAAACAAATAACCTGCACTTCTGTTCTGTAGTTGAAGACATTTTGCTTCACATCTCAATATGAGAAAGCTCCCCAGATATACAGCAAAGCATCTTGAACTACAGAATAGAAGTCCAGTTGTTTCGGTTTTTAAACCTATTTTGGATTTACCATGTTTGGATGTTTTAAGGTTCAGAATAATGATTGCATTTTAAAATGAAGAAATAAACCCATTCCTTTGAAAGAAACAGTTTGAAAAGCACAGAAAAAACAAAATAATTTGACAAAGTTTTGTACGAAGGTACTCCAAAACCAAAAAGGCTTTCAGTTTTTTATTTTATTTTATTTTTTATTTCATGGGGCACAACTTGTACAGCTTTTCTAATAATCTTATAATAATGACAGTTTTGGATTGATTGGGTTGACTGAAAACCAGAAACTAACTGAACAATACTGTGGCATAATATCTTCTTTAAATTAAATGTGATGAATTACAAAAAAGATCTGCACTAGGGTCGCCTACTAAACCAGATTTCATCTTCAGGATTTCTATTGAATCTCAAGGACTTTTTAAAATAAAAAATCTGGCCATTTTGAAATTAAGTTCTGCAGAAAAAGTATAACAAATAAATATCTTAATGATTATTACCGGTTATAGCTCTTTGAATGACCTCAAATTAGAGAACCATATTTTAGTTTTGATTAGAATGATGAGCTAACTGCTATAGTCCAAATGTAGCTTTAATGATTTTAACCTTGTATTTCCCTGATATTTACATAAAATCCATCCATCTTTTATTAAAGTAAAGTAGACTGTCCAACATTTTTCAGTCAAGGCATCTGGACAGTTTCTTTTTTTTTTTTTTTGTGCTGAAACATTTCACCTGCAGTTTCACCAATTTGGAGTAAGCTGTTGGGGGAAGAATCAGTTTTGTGTTGTGTTTCCTTGACTGATGAAGCCTTCTGGATGGAAGGTGAAACGTTTCAGCACAAAAAAAAAAAAAAGAAACTGTCCAGATGACCTGACTGAAAAATGTTGGATTGTATACCTGGATTATTGAGGATGGACGCTGTGAAATTGTCTTTTTTACGTTTTGATCGCTGTTGTTATTTTGTCAAATTAGCATCGTTGTTTTGAAACGTGACGTATAATGTGAATAACGCATCAAATATTTCTCTCTTTGTATTTTTTATTTATTTTTTACAGTAAGCTTTTTTTATTTATTATGTCTGAAATGTAGCAGGCGTTCATACACCTGCTGATGTTGTGCACACTAGAGCTGTCTGGAGACGCTGTGCATAACGTGCACTGTCTGCGGAGCATTTATTTATTCTGTTGAATAAATGATCATTTCTGTTTCGAGGGTCTGGGAGGAGGAGGAAAGGGGGTGTTTTTCAGTGCGCAGCCGCTAAGTAGGGACAATATTTGGAGAGGAGGAGGAGAGAAGGACTCCGCACAGAACCTCCGTGCGTAAATGTGACCATCTGTCCCTCCGTCCTCAGCCCCCCGCCTAGAGGCTCCTCTCCTGCTCCTCAAAGGAGTGTGTAGCTGGTGTGCCGCGTGTGCTGCGGCTGGAACATCCACTCCACAGACTGGGTCCGCTGGGCTAAGGGCAACGTCTCCACTCGTAGTATGCTTTAATGAATAATCAAAATAAAAATGTGCGATGACTTTGGACTTTGAGGGGCGGAGTTGATGGATCCGAACAAAGAGTTGCAGGAACAGAACGGGTCAAAATGAGAGAGTTCCCGGATCTTGTTCTGGCAGGATCCAGCTCAAATTAATCACTGGTGCAGGGGTGGGGTGGGACCTAAAATCCCACATCCCTGACGTGCAGATTTTGGTTGCAAAAATACAACATGGCAACTCCAGGAAACTGGATCCTACTGGCTTCAGTTCTCACAGAGAATTTTGGGGACATTTGGCCCAATAGAAATAGACCTATAAGTCTGTAAGACTGAGGTCATTAAAATGCTATTTACAACAGGAAATATATTAATTATCCATAACTTTTCCAAAGAACCTCACTTCAGAATAGCCAAAATATCCTTTTGGGCATAATTAAACAATTTGGAATGTTTTAAAATTACATCTAAAACTTACTGTAAAAACTGCTCATAGATTTAAAATCAAATTTAGGAAACCTCTGAACCCAAATAGCAGTTACTGTATATATTATGTTACCGAGCCATTAGAACCAGAAAAAGACACTAGTGAAAATCAGCATAATGCTGAGATTTTAATGGAGAAGTAATGTGGGAGTTCTCACTGTCAGCACTAAAGTTTCTGAAGACAAACATTGTTTTTCACTCTCAGTGTGAGAAAATGAAACATATTTTTTTAGATTTGCTTTACAGTTATGTACTTTTCTCTGCAATTAAATCTGAACAGATTGGACAATTTTTAGCAATTATTCAACGCAAATGATGGCCAAGCTGCAAAAATTACACTATACAACCAATGTAGCACAGGACATACACAAATGTGCTCACCCAAAGACTAACAAAAACTTGATGAAAAAACAAATATCTTGTGTCTAACATCTTAAATACTTACATAAAAAGTTGGAGACACTTAAGGAAAATGTGAATCCAAACAAATTTCTACCTAACTTTAGGTTGAAGGAAGTTTTTCTGTTTTTGTTAAATTTAAAATTAAAAAGGGGCCAGGTTAAGGGTAAAATTAGAATATTCTGTAAATGTAAGACACTAATTGAGAAAGGTGCCACGAATCTTAATCTAGCGACTTAATCCATAATCTTGACTGAGGTGGCTCCTGCGCTAACATTACTGCTAAGCATTTCATCCTATCCTAATGAGCTTTTGAGTTTCCAAATGAGCTAAAGGACTTGTGTCTTTCAGATTTCATTGCACTCATTTAATCCTCTGCACATGCAGTAGTTTGTTTCAAAGAGCTAATCAAGAAATTATATGGCAAGGCAACTAAGAAATCATCAACCTTCAAAGATACCATTAATACAATTCAATTCAGTTTCTTCATATATATTATATTATGTTATATTATATTATATTATATTGTATTGTATTATTATTAAAACAGCTCTGACTCATCAAATCAAACCCCCTAAAAAGTTTTATAATTTTATATAAAGTTTAAGAGCATGGACAGTTATTTTTAGGCCCGAGCACCTCTGCACAGCTGTAAAAAAAGTCAAACAATGACCTTTGGCATGTGAATGTAAGAGTCTTTGTTCTGAATTAAGAGGGGGCATAAAAGGTCCAGGGGCATGCCCCCCTGGAAAAAAAAAAAAAAAAAAAAAAAACTTTAAAAAAAATCTACTCAAAACTATGCATTTTTCAGCCATTTGAAGTGCATTTTACCAAATTATTAGGATTGATAAAATAACAAAATCAGTATATTATAGATTTAATAAAAGGTAGACCACTGAATTACAATCAACCTTTAAGCTGAGCTTTGTCTCAGACCTTTCTTGAAAACTGCATTACCCTTATAGTTTTCTTTTTATACAATGAGCCATAGGCGTTGCAACCATTATATGTGAAGGGGACGTGTCCCCCCCCCCCCCACACACACACACACACACACACGTTAAAAAACGTTCATTTGGACTCATTTTGGGAGGAAGAATCAGTTTTGTGTTGTGTGTTTCCTTGACTGATGAAGCCTTCCAGATTGAGGGTGAAACATTTCAGAAAAAAAAAAAGTAACTGTCCAGATGACCTGACTGAAAATTGTTGAATATACAATGCATAATCTATGACAAGAGCATTTTACTTTTTCTTTTTTGTGTGTGATTCCACACTGTTAATGCTCTGATTTGATTGCCGTAATATTTAATTTGCATTAGGAGGCAAGTGCATTACCGTAAGTTTTGGTATGCAGTGCACACTCTATATAATAGGAACCTTTTTCATTTACTTTTTTACTAGTGATCCCACAGTGTTAACACTCTGATTTGATACCCATACGCATTTGATAGTTACAGTAAAATTTGCTTCTTTTTTTGTTGGTTTATTTTTGTGTTATTTTTTGTTTACTTACTATTATAATCACATATGGGCAGACAGGCGCCAAGATGGCTGGATTGTGTTCTCTAGGTAAGCACTAATGTGTGGATTTTCAGTTGATAGTGTTTTTTGCTCTCTCCATGTTCGGGTAGGAGAGAGGGGGTGGGTTTATACCGGATCAGTCTATTGTTGTTGTTGTTTTTTTTGTTTTTTTACCAGGTATTGGAGTGTGATATTATGTACGTAATTTATTTACTGCCATTCAATTATGACCAACGTTAAGGATGTTGTCCACCCTAGTGGCTGTCCAGTTAAGTGTGTAAGCCAAAACATGAAATCCCTTAATAATCAGTAAAAATTCTGAAAAAAATTATATTGCACCTTAAAACAGCTGAATACTGATATTGCCTTTTTACAGAAGACTCTTGTGCACTCAGCAGATTGTGGAAAATTTGTCAAAAAATGGCCTGGTCAGGTGTTTCAGTCTAATTTTTAATCCAAACCAAGAGGGGTAGCTATTATAGTTGGTAAACAGGTGCAATTTACAGCCTCAACTATGCATGCTGATAATGCTGGACAGTACGTTGTGGTGATAGGGAAGTTGTACACACTTTCAGTGATCTTGGTTTCAGTATATGATTTCAACTGGGACGACTCTGCATTTTTTAGTAACCTTGTCTCAAATATACCAAATATGTCAACACATGACCTTATTATTGGCAGTGACAAATTGTGTGCTTTCATCTCTTGACCGTAGTTCGATGGGGAAAACTACTCTGACTAAGTCCGCTCAGTTAATCAATTCATTCTTTGAATCATATGATGTGGCTGATGTGTAGTGTTTCCGTAACCCTAAATCAAGATCATACTTGTTTTTTTCCCCAGTCCATAAGACATACTCCCAAATCGATTACTTATT